GAATTTTCTTTGTATACGCTCAAGTTTATTAGAGTCAGTGTTGGTCACAGAGTTCCAAACCACAGAAGCGTACTCTAATTTAGATCTGACAAGGGCAGAATATAACGTCATTAGACTGTCTAAGGTGGAAAATGAGAAAGTGATAGTACGAATTAAGCCTAATAATTTTAAGGCATGCAAAAATAAATAATTTACATGTTGATGAAAGTAAAGTTTGGAATCAAAATATACTCCTAAGTCTTTAATGCAGTCAGCGCGAAGTATGACAGAATTACCCAACCTATATGGAAAGTTCAAGGCAGTAGTTTTCCTGGTAAAGGAAATAATTCTAATTTTGCTAAGGTTGGGTTTCATATAATAATAATAATAATAATAATGTTTCATCGATATTTGATTCCGTGTGCCTATAATTGACTTATTAGACAATCATATGAAGTAACTGTCCAATCTTACTCATTTGAACTATAATTCAGTTTAGTCGAAACAGATAGCAAAACCTAACGAACTCCACGGAGCAGAGTACGTCATGATAAACTAAGGCTGCGACCACACGAGCGCACGAAGTACGTCCGTTGCAACGAACGTACTTTATGAGGGACGTTGCTTAGGACACCACACAGTTGCAGAATGCGGTGCGTAGTTTTTTGTCTGCAATGGAGAAAGAAGAAAGCGTAGCATTCACCTCTCTTGTTTATTTCTAAACAGACGTCACGACGTTCGTTACAACGGACGCATTTTGTGCGCTCGTGTGGCCTCAGCCTGAGATACTCAGGTAATAAGGACAATTCCCCCTTGTTTTTTGTTGCCCGAACGTTGAATCGTTTTATTCGAAGGGCTCCTCACTGGTCCTCTTCTGAACCAGATGAATCCAATCAACATCCTTACATCCCGTTTATTTAACAATCTTTCCAACTTTATTCTCCTCTTTGCTTCTGAGGATAACTAGAGTTTTATTCATTTTAGAATTTCCGACCAAAATTTTATGTGTGTATCTTGTCTCCCCCATTTGTGTTACATTCACGGCACATCTCATTTCTCTTGATCTGTGAACCCTGATAATATTTGGCGAAGAGCATAAATTGATGAAACTCTTCCTTATTTAATTTCACCAGCTTACACTTACTTCCTCCCCTTTAAGCCCAGACATGCTTACCAGTTCTCTGCTCTCTGATAATTCCAATATGTGAAATCGCGCCATCAGGTTTCAAACCCCTATATAATAAGAGGAATTTTATAATTTTTCCATATTACTTTCACGTTTTTGGATATGAGACGATTTTGAACAGAATTACAACAAGAATTCTCCGGATTTATTCTGCCATTAATTTCCTTGTGAATGCAATTTTGATTTGTTAATATTGTACCATAATGCTTTAAATTTGTCACATATTTCTATGAATTGTTGCTTGTCTTTATGACATGTTTAGATATTGATGTGTTTATTGTCAATCTGTTTATCCCGTTTGTATAAAGTAAAACAAAATCTGTTTAACCGGAGACGAATTATTCGAACAGAAGGGGAGAGACGTCCATGAATGGTTCTGAGAGGGCATAACAAATTGGAGAGGGGGTGGTTAAGTACGCCTGCTCGTGAAGAGAGGCCATAAAACGTGAATGATGTTGAAGTTATTTGTAGATACAGCTGCAGGGTGAAATTGCATGATCTCATCTCGAAGATGAGCGATTCTTACCCATCTATACGGATCAGTATAAAAGGAACTTATTCTCATGCCCAGAAATCAATAGCGGCATCCATGTTTTTCAGAAGTATGAAAAGTTGTCGATATATTTTTGCCCTATGATTCTTAATCAGTATTCTGGTTTGTGTCATGGTGGACTGCTACAGCCACCGAGACAAAATGTTTAACCCTTAATCAAGAGCACATTTCGAATTAATTTTACTGCAGTATAGTAGAAGGGGCTGACCACAGTGTTTACGCTCACTCGAACGCTGTGATCATGGGTTGGAATCCCACTCGAGGCATGGATGTCTGTCTGCGTTTATTCTGTTTGTGTTGTTCTGTGTAGGTAGCGACCTTGCGACGGGCTGATCCCCCGTCTAAGGAGTTCTACCGTTTGTGTACAGATTAAGAAACTGGAAAAGCGGCCAAGGTCCACAATGGCTGTAAAGTCATAGATAGATGGATGGATGGACGGACGGATGGATGGACGGACGGACTCCTAGTATCATTGGTGGATGGAAATTAGGTGAAATGTAACACCATGTTCACAGTTTTGCATTTAATTGCATCTTCTTAATTTACTCGCAGTTAACAAGGACAACATTTTTCTCTTTTGAGGCGTATTACGAAATTCAGTGTATCTATAGAGAATGCACATGACCAGGATAAGTGGGAGTGTTTTCCATTCTTTTTCTCGTATTTCGGTCATGCTCTGGACGGTGATTTGTTTGCATTTGAAGTGTCATTAGTTTAGCAGCCACTATGCTAATATTGACCATGAAGCAGTATAATAGCCATTTGATTAGATGTTCACAAATTCCAAATTTTAGCGTTAGATGCAGGCGAATCGTCAGCTTCACGCGATAGCCAGTTTGTCACCCATTGGCTCTGAGGTTTCATAAGCCTCAGTATCATTTTGTGCATGATGGTGGTAATATCTAATTCAGCTACTGACCACCTTAGGCTTAGGGTGTCACTATTGTCCCTAACGTCGCCTGTTTGCTCCTAGTATCATTAACCCACGAACTGACCTTGTGCGAGACCTGCCAGGAGGGGTCTTGGGTTCCCTGCTCGTGTGCCTTGAAGACCTAAGAAAGTTTTTGGGCATCTCGAAAAATACGAATGTAGGACAGATGCCAGGCTCGACCCTTGGCTTTCTCTTTTTATTTTCTTGTTTTTTTATGCCAACTGGGGGACTTGTAAAGAGAGGGCAGTTGTTTACAGGGAGCGGAGGTGGACAGTTGAAAAGGGAGTTACAGGAGGGTAGCTGGAGAATGGAGTGTATGGTCAGTGAGCCCGGGGCAAATGGGCGTACAAAGGTTAAGTGTGACGGATCGGCAAGCTTGGAGGAATAAAATAAAGATTAATTCCTGTGTGAAATTTTAAATTACGACTTCAATAAACGGTGTGTTCTGGTGATCCCCGATTTTGTAACCCCGAAGTGTGTTCCAGTCCCATATCCGAAGCACCCGTATCCATGAGATAAAGAACTCAAGCGCGAGCGACAGTCGCGGCAGCTGCACGTCGGTGGGCGGCTACAGCAGATCTTTTTAATGAATAAAGCTACAGAAGATTGTGTTCGTTATTCTTGAATGAGGTTATGTTAGAGTTTAGCATACAAACCGCTGCTTTAGATCCAAATGTTGTGAGAAAAGAGACGAAAGTAATTAGCTAACCTGTTCCATAGGAAAATATTAGATGTGAGTTTAATAGCGGTTAAGAATTAAATAAACATTTCTTTTACTGCAAAGAGAGATGTGTTTATCTCTGGTGTCGTAAGACGGCCGTTAGAGTAAACATCGCAACGATAGCTATGATGGAAACACACATTCGTTGTTTCAGAGGTATTATCAAGCTTTTAAACTGGTTTCACTATCTTTTAAAATTGCAGCTAAAGGAAGCGCGGTTCTATCCTATTTTAAACGGAAATTAGGCCCATAGAATTTAAGAGGATAGGCTGAATAACCCATGTATAAGGTAACTAACGAAATCTTAAGAACAGAGTCCTCCATTTTGTGAAACTAATAGCCTCTTAGTTGGTCAAACCATATTCACACCAACCCTTCATTGAATCCTATCCTGAGCCAGATGAATCCAGCCACATCCATTCGTAATTTACCTTTAAGATAAGTGTTAATATTATCCTCCCATTCATGTCTATGTATGCTACATGGCCTTTTCCTTTCAGATTTTCAGAATAAAATTGCGTGTGCATTTCTCCTCTTTCCGATTCTTTCCACATGCCGCGTTCATCTAATCCTCCTTGACCTTATTTATCTAATTTAGTATAGTCTGTTCCCAGACACATCAGTATCTGAGGTGTATTCTTCCCTTAAGGTTCAAGTTTCATACCCATACAAGGAAGAGGTAAACTTACGCAGGATTTGGCCGCGCCATAGCTCAAGCGGTTAGTGGCTGGCTTCCCATCACGCCGGCCCAGGTTCGATCCCGGGTCTGGTCAAGTGGGATTTGTGGTGGACAAAGTGGCGGTGAGGCAGGTTTTCCCCGAGTACTTCGGTTTCCCCTGCCAATCTTCATTCCACCAATTGCTCCACAATCACCCTCACCTATCATAGGGGCTGATGCAATAGGCCAGAAATGGCCGCAGTACAAGGGACTTAGTCCCACCCCACTAGCAATAAAATGAAATACACAGGATTTGAGATTTTTTCAGCGGTGGCTATGAAGAATTCTATGTGCTGGGATGTAGCGTCATGTAATCCGGGGAAAGCCAACCGACAGCCAGAAGGATCTGTTCGCTAGTTTCTTGCTTTGCTTACAGTTCAACCCTGAAGATGGAGGTGACATGTTCTTTCGAAACATTAGCTGTCTTCTAGGAACGACATTAACAAAGCGAATCGGGGCTTCTGACCAGAAACTTTGCAGTTACTTGTGCGAAGAAGGACCGTCCTGTTGTCTAGTGGTCGGAGTTCCTGGCCACAGATCCATAGGTCCCGGGTTAGATTCCCGGCGTTACCAGATTTTCCGAGAAGTAGTGGTTCTGGAACGGGGTCCACTCAGTCTCGTGAGGATAATTGTGGAGCTATTTCAAGGCAATGGCAGCTGCGGTCTAGAAAACCGAAATTAACGGCCGTGGGGATTCGTTGCACTGATCACACTTCACCCTCTACCCGCTAAAGTTGGCACTAACTTCGCCGACAAGCGGCGGTCGCTCGGTCGTTATAGTTTCCTTGGAGACTCAAGCCATGGAGTCTGTTTTTTTCTGTGAAGAAGACTTTGAATGCAAGCGCAGTGAGTCATCCCCATCTGCCATCTGGGAACCTCAGCAGGTTTGATAACGAGACAATTCGTACTTACATGTACGAAGCAGGCTGTGAGGGCAAGCGCACTGAGCCATCCTGATTTATCTTCTAGGAACCAGGTCAGCTCGTCCACACAGCCGTAGAAGAAAGCGTTCCCTGTGACGGTGTCTCTACATTCTGTCGGTAGGGGCTTCAGCAGCTGCAGGTAGTCGTTGGGCCCGTCAGCACCACAGCATCCGATCTGCGAAACAGATGCACTATTGTACAGTCTGAGCTTGCGTATTGCAAAATGGAGTTTCATGAACAATTCCGAATATAGTACAAGGGTATCCATGGTTGCCACTGGATATTAATTGGGCTGTACGTGGTAGATTCCCGCGTATGCCGTCGGGAAGGTAAAAGAGAGTCCTGAAAAAGTTTTCCCCGGTGCTTGACTAATTAGACACTATGCCATGAGGGCGTATGTAGAAGTGAATATATAGCTCCACATTTTCTTGACCTCTGCATTAGATCGAGGTGTAGGCCGCGCCATAGCTCAAGCGGTTAGTCGCTGGCTTCCCACCGCGGCTGTCCGGTTTCGAACCAGGGTGTGGTCATGTGGGATTTGTGTTGGGCAAAGTGGCACTGGGGCAGATTTTCTCTGAGTACTTCGGTTTCCCCTGCCAGTCTTCATGCCACCAGTATCTCCACANGAATGGGAGTACAATGAGACAGTACATCAGCTATTTGTATACTTCAAGAAAGCCTATGACTCAGTTAGGAGGGAAGTATTGTACAATATTCGAATAGAGTTTTGGATACCCATGAAACTAGTTAAGTTGATTGAAATGTGTTTAAATGAAACGTATGGTAAAGTCCGTAAAGGTTAACCTTTATCTGATAATTTCCTATCCAGAATGGTCTAAAACAAGGAGATGCTTTATTGCCACTCCTTTTCAACTTTGCTTTAGTATATGCCATTAGGAAGGTCAAAGAAAACCAGACGGGACTGAAATTAAATAGGACGCATCAGCTGCTGGTCTATGCAGATGATGTGTATCTACTGGGTTATAATGTAGATACGACAAAGAAAAACACCTACTTTAATTTACGCAAGTAAAGAGGTTGGTCCAGAAGTAAACACAGAGAAAACTAAGTATATGTTACTGTCTCGTCACCAAAATGAAGGGCAAAATCATTACATAAAGATAGGAAACAGATGTTTTGAAAATGTGGGACAGTTCAGATATTTGGGAATGACTATAAGAAATCAAAACTTGATTTAGGAGGAAATTAAGAACTCGGGTAATGCTCGCTACCATTCAGTCCAGAACCTTTTGTCTTCTCGTCTGCTGTCTAAAAACATAAAAATTAGAATATATAATACTATAATACCCCAGTCACAATAAAGATAGACCAAAAACAACTGGATCATGTGAAATGTTTTAAATATTTGGGTAGCTTGTTAAGAGATGATGGAAGGTGACTTGCAAAATTAAATCTAGGATTGCCATGGCAAAAGCTGCATTTAGCAAAAAGAAGATTCTTTTTACCAGCAAATTTGACTTAAATTTTAGAAAGAAACTAGTGAAATGCTACATCTGGAGCATTGCTTTGTATGGGGCTGAAACTTGGACACTTAGGGCAGTAGATTAGAAACACCTGGAAAGCTTCGAAATGTGGTGTTGGAGAAGGATGGAGAAGATCAGTTGGACCGATTATGTGAGAAATGAAGAAGTGTTAATTAGAGTCAGTGATCACAGGAATATCCTACACGAAATAAGAAAACGGAAGGCTAATTGGATTGGTCTTATCTTACGCGGTAACTGCCTTCTAAAAGAAGTTATTGAAGGAAAGATAGAGGGGCGGATAGAAGTGACCAGAAGACGAGGAAGAAGACGTAAGAAGATGCTGGATGACCTTGGGGACAGAAGAGTATATTTTCATTTGAAGGAGAAAGCTCTAGATCGCATCAAGTGGAGGAACTGTTTTGGAAGAGACTGTGGACCTGTCGTCTTGACAGATTACTGATGAATGAATGAATACTATAATTTTGCCCGTGGTTCTGTATGGGTGTGAAACTTGGTCTCTGACTTTAAGGGTGTTTGAGAACAGGGTGTTGAGAATATTTGGTCCGAAGAGAGATGAAGTGACAGGAGGTTGGAGAAAACTGCATAATGAGGAGCTCTATAACTTGTACTCTTCTCCAAGTATAATTAGAATGATCAAGTCCAGGAGGATGAGATGGGCAGGGCATGTAGCACAAATGGGGGAGAGGATGAATGCATATGGGATATTGGTGGAAAGCCAGAAGGAAGGAGACCACTGGGAAGACCAAGACGTAGGTGGGTGGACAGTATTAAAATGGATCTTAGAGAGATAGGATGGGATGATATGGATTGGATTGATCTGGCTCAGGATAGGGACCAGTGGAAGGCTTTTGTGAACACGGTTAAGAACCTTCGGGTTCCATAAAATGCTGGGAAATTCTTGATTAGGTGCACAATTGACAGCTTCTCCAAAAGGGCTCAGGTCCATGAATGAGTGAATATTTAAAAATCCAAGTCTATGAGAAAATACACACCGTCTCCACAAGAAGGACCAACTGGATAATGGTGCTCAAAAATATATGGCATTCTATTCTGAAGATCATATGAGACCAATACATACAGTGCTAGACAAAGCGCAAAGTTTATTAACATTAAAGCCAGTGTTGCATATGGCTGGCATGTGCTTTTATTTCTAACGTTTTCAAATCACTTAAGTAAACTCATTTATTTAATGTTAAATTTGTCAAGAGGAAAACAAGCATAAACTACGTGAAACAACAAATTTATGGCCATTCTTAATGTGACGTTTGAACTGAATAATGTTGAGCGGATGCTTATATTTTCAAGTGAAGTTAACTTGACGCACGGATATATAAATACAGCAATCAGTAGCTCTTATATGGGCTAGCAAAGACACGGGAACCGAAGTCTAAATATATGGGAACGATATAAAAATATTTGCGAAAAAGCATTACGACTTAGATACAATACTCAAATCAGTTATTCGTTAATTAATGCCTTTATATGATCTGGTCCTTCGCCAGGTAGGATCCCCGTTTAATGAGGTGGCAGAATTGCACTGAGAACGGTGTCCAGTATTAACTAGAACGACATCCATTCACAGTTGATGAACTGTATTGTATTCACCTGAGTGTGTCCCTTTCCCTTATTCACTGCTATTGTTAAGTTTTTATCATTATCCGTCTTATTCATCCTTAACTTTAAAATCAGTATTCCTCAATATCCTTTAGCACAATTCCGTTCTGTAACTAATAACTTTTTTGTAAATAATATATTTTTAATACTCAGCCATTTCGGTCGTTTCAGATATATTCCCCCTTTCTTGGTTCCATTGCCTCGTACCAGAATTGCCTTCTGTCTTCACACTCCCCACAAAAGAGGGGCTCTAATTTCTGGACGTAGCCTCTAAACTTGAATACCAGTAATCATTATCTTACCCAGCGACTTATGACATTCCAAGTACATGTCATAAATCGTTCGGAAACAGTTCAGAATCTAAATATACGGCAAGACCAGTAACATCAAGATAAAGTGAAACAGAAGCTAATGATAGAATAGCTTGGAAAGTAAATTCAGGAAAAGTTCATCATTAGTCCTTGTGCTTAACACCGAACGATGGACAAAGCCCAAGAACGCAGTAATCTTAAAGTAATTATGTTTTGAATTGAAATTGGTGGCAGTAATTGATATAAATTGATCAAAAATTGTATAATTGCTAATCTTTCTATATAGAGGGAAATGTGTTTTTTAAGTAAAATACAGAGCCTCTTGTTGTACCAGTGACCACATGGCATTATCATATGTTTATGGCTCCATGACTGATGATAACGGGTTCTGGATGGATGATTGGGTTTATTGACACCTCCTTTGCAATCACTCGTAATCACAATTGGCCACAGTAACTCGCAATTAATCTACTGCTGAGGACTCGCTCCACTCTTGTTCTCAGTCTCAGTTCTAATTCTGACGACTCAAAGTCAAAGTCACATTGCGACTGACATTCAGTCAGTCGGTAAGTCTTGGCGTCGAGCTCCATCTGGGGTTCATGACCAGATATTACTGTTTGACAGTTACGGTCTTGTTTTGTGGGGCGCCCTCCCTTACGAGAGGACTGGTCTGTCTTTTGCATAAGCTGCCGGCCTTTGCTAGCGCAGTCCCTTGGGACTCGTGACCATATTTTACTGTCTCAGTTTTGAGACCTCCCTTTTCGTCGCCTCCTACGACTCTTAGGATCACGGTGGAGGTATTCGACCCCGCCTCCACACGGGTTTCTCTGACGACTGTTCTGTACTTCTGTACTCTCGAGGCGGATCCATAGAAAAAAACGCTTCTGTCGTCAAGAATGCGTGTTTATTAGTCCGTTACCTAGCAATGGATATCCTTTATTGTCGCGTTTTTCTGTATGCATTACCCAGCAACGGGATGTTTACACAAGAACCTGTCTCCCCGGGAACGTGTTTATCGAGTCGTTGCCTAGCAGTGGGTCGATACGTCACAATGTGATACGGCCTACCTATCGTATGCACCGATAAATTTTACCCTAAAATCATCGGAATTCGTAATACTCGAGGGAGGAAACTTTAGTTACTTTATTACGCTATTCTCTTAGCGTTGTGATAGGATTGAGATATATTCACGTATTTCGAAAAGTCTCATGGTATCTGGGTACAGCACGTTGTGTCTAGAATGTAGTTGCTGCATATTCTTTTTTTTTTTAATTGTACTTTCAGATGTAGCCGTTAAGTTCGTAGCCTTTATGCCAATTCCTGTCAGAACTGTTTTATGTTGAGCACGCTCCATATAGATATTAAGAATGGAACAGTCAGGCTACGTGTAGCGGGAAGTATACGTCGTAAGGACTTCACGCATCCCGTGGCAACATAAATGTAGATACAATCCAGAACAATCCCTTTATATTGCAATACTATAAACAGGCACGCAATTTCCTTCAGAACAACTGGAAACCAAGTGGTTGCGGTCTCTCGGTTTATTTCTTTGTCTTCAGATTATTTTCCTGTCTTCTACGTGGTCACATTTTCTGAAGTTTTCCCAACCGTAATTCGATATGCATTTCTAAGCTCCACAACTTTATTTACATGTTTAGCGAATCCTAATCTCCAACATTTAATAACCTAACGATATGGGGTGATCTGTATAAGTCACGAAACTTAATAATATAACGTTCTAAACCACTAGCTTAAATCATCGCTCATGGATTAAATTTTTTTCTGGGATATTGTCACGTGTATGGGTGATTATAGATTATATTATTGTGACATGCTGAGCTATGGATGACGCCCCTCCCCCACCCCCCGCCAGCCGTGATGCGCCGAGCGAAACCGAAGCGAGCCGATGTTAGCCGAGTCCTAGC